CTGCACCGACTGGGGGGCTCACGTCCGACGGAGGGGCCCGGCCGTCCCCTGCGGGCCTGCACCGACTGGGGGGCTCACGTCCGACGGAGGGGCCCTGCCTGTACCTCCATCAGTGTCGGCCCCGCCCGTGGGGTCGCTCAGCAGCAACCAGGCACGCAGCATGGAGAAGACCTGCACGTTGAGACGCTGGTCCTCCGTGAAGTGATGGCCCGTGGACAGCACGGTGAAGAAGTCAGTGGCCATCGCACCATCTACCTCAGTGACTAGTCCTGGCTGCGGAGGAGGGGAGGGGAGGGAGGGCTGCAGGAGCTGGGCAAGGCAGGGCGCGGGGGTGGGGTGGGAGAGATACGCCCCGGCCAGCCTCGCCAGCCCCACGCCCAGCCCTGCTTGGGGGATGACCCGTGACCCCCCTCAGCAAACGAATGTCCACCGCCATCCCCAGCGGGGCCCCACACTCCCCTCAGCTGTCCCCAGTGGGCACCCACAGTCGTCCCCAGCTGGGCCATCAGCAGTCACACATGCAGAGCGTCCCGGCTCACGGGGAGTGTGTGGCCCAGGAGCCCCGAGACAGTGGCCTGGAGACAGTGCTGCAGCTCTGCCCGACCAGGTGCCAGTGGGGCACGGCCCCCCAGGACAGGTGGGGTCCTGGGCACTCGTCACCTGGATCGGCTCTTACCTGGCGAGCTCTAGGTACCGAGAAGAAGCCCCCTGAGGGCGGTGCTGCCCCCTGCTGGACACTGGCATAACGCAGCCAGTCCACCAGCCTGCGGTGCAGCTGCTCGGCCTGGGCTGGGGCGGAGACAGGAGGGAGGCGTGAGAGGGACAGAGAGACAGAGGGACAGGGGACACGGTGGGGAGTCCCCCGGGGATCATGCCGGGCTCAGTGGGGAGTGCCCCCCGTGGGATCCTGCTGGCCGAGCCCTGCCGCCCACTCCCCACTGCATGGGCTTCTCTATCCTGACTGTTGTACCTTCGGGCAGGGCGCCTGGCACGAGGCTGACCACCTTGGACAGCACGGGGAGGAGGGGCCGTGGACCGAGCCCCTCGGGCAGCCGGGCCTCCAGGAGCTGCAGGGCGTGGCGTCCCACACGGCCGACCTCGTCCTGCCTGTCGCCCTGGAAAACAGACACAGGGTTATACCCAGCAGCTGCTCTGAGGAAGAAAAGACTGGCAACCCACTGCCTTGGAGATGACGGCCTGGGGGACCCCGAGGGCAGCTGTTCCCCATCATGAGGGTCGCCAGGCGTCGGGGCCAACATTACTGTGCCCAGAACACAGCAGCAGCTTCCCCAGAGCCTTCTGGGCCTGTTCAGTGCCCATGAGGGCAGATGTTGCTTCTGGAGGAGAGTGCAGGGCAGCGGCAGTCCAGGGTGGTGTGGTCTCATCCCACAGGGAGGGCAGGAGGGGTTGAGCACAGCTAGGGCTCCAACTGCAGAGGTCAGCGCAGGGATGGACTGACATGGGGCCCTGTGGGTGGCGCAGGCCGGCAGGACTTGCTCTCCTGAGACAGCAGCCCTGGGGCCCCCGAGGTGTCCTCGCAGTTACCTGGGCCAGCAGCACCGAGGCCACCAGGCTCAGCGTGCGGCTGTTCTGGACGTGGTCGCAGGCCAGCACCAGGCCCTCGGACGGTGCCATCTCCCGCAGAATGGCAGCAGAGAGGAGCTGGAGCTGCTCAGGGCACGTGGGTGAGCAGAGCGTGGTCTGCAGCAGGTCCACACAGGGCTTCTGCAGCCTGCAGTGGGTGCACCAGTGGCCACACTCACCCCAATACCAAGACACTCCCTGGCGAGAAGCCACGGGCCCCTCCCTCCCACAGGGGGATGGGAGTGTCCACTTTCCTGTAGGCCCCTGTGTAGAGGGGACAGTGGAGCAATGGTGACACAACATGCTAAGCATTAGGCCAACTGTAAGGCTGGTGGCTGGGACCCTCTCCGGAGAGACATTCTGCTCCCAAGAACACTACGGCCTTGGAATGTCGGTGAGGTGGTTCCACCCTGTCCTACAGGCTCACCAGGAACCAGAATCGACTTGGCACCAGCAGATCTGGCTGGTAGCTCATTCGTAGAATTCTTGCCTTTCATGTGGAAGACCTGAGTTCAATTCCCAACACTTACTTAACGGAGGCTTGTGTACCACACTTACAGAGAACAGGGAGACAGAACTGGTAAGCGACGATGGTGGCAACTCAATGGCCGTTAACAAGAAGCATGTGCCAAAAGAAAGCCTCATCCTCTAAGCCGCAGGGTCAGGAGCACAGCCCAAGCCTCACCTGGCTCTGAGTCCCCATTACTCGCAATCCCCCAGGGTCCTCCACTAACCTCCTGCTGTATTTAGTGGCCGAGACGACGAGGAAGAGCCTTCGAAGGGCATCAGCTGCCTCGGCCCCCGGGTCCTTCTGCAGCAGTTTCGTTACTCGGGTGCAGAACCTGCTCAGTTCCTCATCCTGAATCTCCCTGAAGGAGGAGAGGATGTCAGTGTCCCGGAGCCCACCGGGCACTGAAAATGCAGCTCCGCACGGTAGCAGAATGGTGACAGATCCCATGAACGAGACTGGGCTGTGGGGCTGGGGCAATCCTTATAAACAAAGAGAAACTCGTGCAGGGGGTGGAGAGAGCTTCCACGTGGCCCCCACCCCAGCGATTTACCCCCACTCCCTGCAGACAGGGTTCACAGGAGTCACATCCGTTCCACCCTCAGTGACAGAAATGCAAATCTTTACGTTTTCTCATGGAAGAGCCAAAAAGGGAAGCAAATTGTTTTTGCAAGTCTTATTGAAAAGCAATAAAAATTCAGGCCAAAATAAATGACTTTGGAGAGATTCTTTCAATCTGTCTTCATTTTCTGAGATCAAGAATTTAATCTTACATACTAGAGAGTGAATACCAGGGCCCATCATGGTCAGGGGGTGTTCAGTGCCAGCCTCTGATTGGATGATGAGGAGTTTCTCAGCCACTCGACCCCCCTGACTCACACTAGAAGTTACAGAACCTTCCCTGGTCTTGAAAAGCCTTGGCAGGGCACTAAGCTCCAGTGGATTCTAACTCCCAGTGACCCCAGGGGCATCAGAGTGGAACTATGCTTGGTAGTGTGTTCAAGGAATGAGCTTTTGAAAGTAGACGGCAAGGCCTTTCTACTGAGGCATCCTTGAGACGCAAGGAGTCTGAGGCTTCATCTGAAATACTTTGGACGTGTTGTAAGGAGGGACCAGTCCTTGGAGAGGGATGTCATGCTTGGGAGGGTGGAGGGACAGCGCAGGAGGAAGACCCTTGATGATATGGATTGATTCAGTGACTGTGGTAATGTGGTAATGTGTCAGAGACAGTAAGGTTGGCACAGGATACAGCAGGTTTCAGGGCTGTTGTACACAGGGTTGCTATGAGTTGCAAGAGACTCGATGGCATATAACAAGATATCCATGGACAGATTTAAACAGCCAACTTTCTGGTTAGCTGCAGAACTCCTGTCAATCTCCTCTGTTGTTGTTTGATGCTGTCAAATTGGCTTTGGCTCCAGTAACACCTGGTCAACAAAACACCACCCAGTCCTGTCCTTACAGCTGTTGCTATTTTTGAGACCAGTCACTGTTTCAGCCTATGTCCTCAAGAGCCTTCCTCTCCATCACCCACCCTCTGCTTTACCAAGTACGACGTCCTTCTTCAAGGACCGGCTCCTCCTGCGAGGAGTCCAAGGTGTGGGAGATAAAGACTTAACCATCTTTGCTTTTCGCACCTTGAGGCTCCACTTTTCCAAGGCAGAAGCAACAGCCTTTGCCAACCCTATGTTACGTGCTGTTTAGCCGGCAGACTCTCCTCCATACTGGATTTGCAAAAGTACGAACTGCAAAGGAGACTGCTTATCTTTCTCCCTCACAGCAGCTAGTGGATTTGAACTGCTTGCCTTTGGATTGGCAATGCAACTCCTTACCACTAGGTCACCAGAGCTATAGCTTCCCCTTAATTCTCATTAACTTCTTCAGCCTTTCCGTCTCTCGACACCGAAGCAAGTGACAACCTGGTCTAGCCGGCTCCCTGCCTGACATGGAGCCCTGATCACCAAGTCGCTGACCGAGCAGTTACGAGGGTCCCACCCACTTCATCCTTACATGCTGTGCACGTGTCGCTACCTTGGCCCTCCCTGGTCTTTCCCACCTCAGGCCTGGCCCGCCCCCAAGTCTGACTCTCTGGCCTCGGGCATATCGTGAAGACCTCACCCCAGCACCCCGAGGGAAAGGAGCGGGAGGGACCCCGGGCCGGAGCACCTGGCCTGGCGTAGCAGGCTCTCCGCTCCCGCCGTGAACATGCCGCCGCCCCTGGACGTGTAGCCACTACGCTCAGCCTGGTCGCCGCCCGGGGAGCCGAGCTCGCCGCCCGGGGAGCCCGGCTGTCAGGTCGCCGCCCGGGGAGCCCCGCTGTCAGGTCGCCGCCCGGGGAGCCCCGCTGTCAGGTGGCCACCGATCGAGAATCAGCTCGCTACTCGGACTTCCGGGTTACGTCATGTGACGCATCACGTGAGAGGCGGGCGGGGCGGCCCCCGCGCCACCAGCCAATGACCGCGCTTGGCGCAGGGCATCACGGGGCGGGCCGGGGCGGGGCCTGGTTGAAGGCGGAAGTCCGGCGGGGCCCTGGCTCCCGGGGCGCAGGCTGCGGACTCGATCCCCGGACCCTGGCGCTCACTGTGACCCCAGGGCCGCGGACTTCTGAGTCTCGCCGTCCTGGGACCCGGGAGCTCCTGCACCCCGGCGCCCGAAGGCCCAGGCCCTGCAGAGCCCTGGTGCTTGGACCCCCGCACGCAGCCGGCTTACAGCCTCGTGGGAGTGGGCGCCCGAGGCCTTTGGCCAAGGAGCCCTGGTGGTGTAGGGGGTTAGTGTCGGGCTGCTAACCGAGAGGTCAGCGTTTAGAATCCACCAGCCACTGCGGCAGACATGGCTCAGAAACTGGTGGAGTCGGCTTGGGGAAGCTTCGGGGGCTTCAGCGGCTCTGGCTCTGGGTGGAGAAGGGTCCCCAGCTCAGGGCCCTAGCACGTTCCGGGATCCGTGTCCTCTCCACCCACCCGCAGCGAGCACCGCCCCGCGATGGCCCCGGGGTCCCCAGCAGCCCCCAGAGCGCCGCGTCTGCTGGAGCCCAGGCCCCAGGCTCAGAGCGCAGGGCGCAGCACGTATTCTCAAATGTGTGCGGGTGCCCAGGGCGGGCTCGGTCCTCGCGGTCAGTGCTTCCCTTACCCAGACGTGAGGTGCGGCCGTCAGGGCCGGAGCGAAGTTCTAAAAGGGACTGGAGCCCAGGAGTAGTCCACAGGAATGGACCTGGCATGCAGGGGGCAGGGGAGGTGCACCCCTCACCGCTCTGGGTGGGGTGCCGAGGTAGTCAGCGTCTTGCCAGCCACGGAGAGGGGGCCAGGCAGATCTGCTGCTGGACTGAAGTAGGGGGCTTTCCTCCTCAGCGTTTAGTAGGCTGGAAGTCAGGTTCAGGGCGCTGACTCCGGGAGACTGCTCTGGGGTTTTGTTTCCAGGTCTGTTCTCATGATGAAGACGACCTGTTCCCCAGTAGCATCATAATGTCAGAGGGTCAGAATCTCAGTCACACAGTTTTAGCAGTCAGAAAAGAAAAAGACTTGTTGCTATGGGCAAGTGGCGGGCAAGAATGCCTTTAAAAATGCTAAAGAAAAACAGCTACGAGATACCATCTCACCCTAGTAACAATAGCACAGTTGTACAAAGCAGCAAACAACAAATGCTGGTGAGGCTGTGGAGAGATTGGAACTTTTATTCACTGCTGGTGGGAATGTAAAATGGTGCAGCCACTAAGAAAGGTGGTCTCGTGCTTTCTAAAAAAGTTGGAAATAGAAATAACCATTCGCTCCAGCAATTCCACTAACTGGGAGTATACCCTAAAGAAGCCAGAGGCACAACTCATACAGATACATGCACACCCGAGTTTAATGCTGCATTATTCACAGTAGCAAAGAGGTGGAAGCAACACAAGTGCCCATCAACGAATGGATAGAGAAGCTGTGGTATATTCACACACTGGACGCAGCACGGAAAAATAAGGAACTCGGAAAACATTACACATGAGTGACCCTGGAGGACATCATTCCAAGTTTAATAGCTCAATCACAAAAGGACAAATAATGTATAACACCACTGTTATAAAACAGGACTGATGGGGGCTTGGGGGGATACTAGGAATACTAGTGGATACTGAACACTGCATCGGAGCAGATGAAGGAAACAACTGTTTAAAAGGAATACATGATTAGGCATTATTTGTGTGACAACGGTCCAGAATAAGAGGTGCATAGCAAAGTGGACTGGGGAAAGTAGGGGGGGGGAAAGAAATTGTGCAACAGTGAATAATTTTTTTTAAGTAAACTGGGGTGTGTAGGGAGGAAAATCAATGAATGAATGAAAATCCAACTTTTCTGTAAGCTTGTAAAAACAATTTAAAAAAGGGGGGATGGGGTGGGGGGAGGGGTTTGTGCGGGGAGAAGGGTGCAACAATGAATGAATGGAATTCCAAAATCTGTAGATGTTCATTGAAATGAAAAATAAACAAACTAATAAAAAAATGAGAAAAAAGGGTGGGATAAAGTGCTAAAGAGACAGCTTGTCAGAGACTGAGATGTGTCTGCCTCAAGCCATGGTGTTTTCAGCTGCTTCATATGTGAGTGAAAGTTGGACAATGAATATGGAAGAGAGAAGAAACAGTGCTTTTGAGTTGTGCGGTGTTGGGGAAACCTATGGAGGAAGGGCGCTCCTGGGAGGAGGCACGGAGGGTAAAGCTTCACCTCACACACGTTGAGCATGTTGTCAGGAGGGCCAGTCCTTGGAGGACACTGCTTGGAAATGTGGAGTCTGGGAAGAAGAGGTGGATTCCCAGCATGGCATAGGGTGGGCAGGACAGGGTGTGGCACCCCACAACGTGACTGTTCCCCACTCTGTGCCACTGTAGCTAAAGCATCTGACTGCTGACAGCACAGCAGCTCACATCTACGGCCTTGGAAGCCATGCAGGGCAGTTCTGCCCTTTCACGCTGACACGGTGGCAGTGGGTTAACCTGTTCTAAGTTCTAATGTGGTGAGTGAAGTGACAATCGCGTTCTCAGGTCCTGGTGGGATGCTGTCCCCGGTGCAGCCCTGC